CCTTACCCCCCCCCCCCGTTCCTTTAATGGCTTGGGAAACGGGAGTACCCCCCCCCCCCCCTGTCCTTCTTCCCGGCTTGTTTTGGCCGTGGCTCCCCCGCCGCCATCCTTACCCAACAAGCCATGGCCGCCCAGTTTGGCCATGCTTTGACCGCCGAGATCACCGCGCAAGACGTGGAAACCGTCTCCAAGGCTGTGTCGGTGCTCCAAGGCATCCTCAGGCGGCGCAAGGCCTTAAAGGCTAGCGAGGCATCCACCGGCGGTGCTGTCGCAGCTGGCGCGGCCGATGCCGAGGTTGAAGTCCCGCCAGGAGTGGCTGGAGCGGCAGCGGACGGGGACGGTCGGAGGGGGAGTGGGAGTGGCGGGGGGACGGAGGGGGGCGAGGGCACCGGAAAATGGAATCTAGAGCAGGAGGTCGAGCTGCTTTCGAAGGTACGGATATGTTGAGGGAGGCAGGCAGGGGGGCTTGGTGTTTTTTCTACCTCTCTTTCACTCCTTCGGTTCCCTGTACCTGCAGTGCATGTTTTCCCACGAGGGGGCGAGCAAGCGGACCCATCGAACTGACACTGTATAGAGCGCCGCCAACACGTGTCCCAAATCTCTCCGCTCCTCCCCCCCCCTCTCTCTTTTAGGCGTACACATTGTCTTTCTTCTCGACACCGAAATTTCGACACGAAGAATGCACAATAACAAGAAAATGTTTCCGAGTGTCCCCCGTCCCCTACACGTGCGCGCCCTGCTCGAGGACGACCCTCATATCTGCACGCTACACACATCATTTTTGTTGTTTCGTTCGTTGCTCTCGGGATCAGGACCCCGAAGTGGCGAAAAGCCTCCTCCACGCGACCGAGCGGCTGCGGGGGTTGGCGAGAGTCGCGGGAGTGTACGTGGACACGTACATGGCTCTGAGCGTCCTGGAGTTCGGGTTCGGGGGCCTGCTTCAGCGCCTGCCGAGGCTCTTGCCTGTGGTGCAGACGACGGTGAGAGCGTTCGCGAATCCTTGATCTCCTTGTTACCACCTTTTAGCAAGCGTGGTGGGGATCTTAGGACACCGAAGAAGATGCGGGTTCTCGACTGGTTGCAAGATCGGTTGACAAGCTCGGACGTTGCGCGTAGCTTGATAGGGTACAATGTGACGGAATAGTTGGTGTTCCGAAAACCAGTCCGATGTTTGCATGCTTCGTGTGGCGAGGCGGCAGCAAGGGGGGTAAGACTTGAACACCCCCCCCCGCGTGCGCGCTTTCCCCTCTCCTTACTCATACCGCCTGCGTGCTTGTTCACAACGGGCCCCGCCGTGTCTGTTCTCGCCATACGACGGCACGATGTCCGCACGCAAAAATGCGCAGATCCAGAAGAAAGGGTTCACGATTAAGATTTCTAACCTCAACCTAGGGGGCGTCGTCTTTCCTCGAAGCGACATCCGTTTTTCTTTCCAGGGAACAAGCCTTCCGCCCCACGGCAGCACCGTGGAGACAAGCACCCCGTTCGGTGAGTGAGCCGTGGCGATATTTTTGTAGATATATATATATATATATGTAGAGAGAGAGGCGTGGATTAGTCGAGTCAGGGGCCAGAAAAAGAGATGAAACGCACGGACATGGCAACTAACGCGATAGAGAGGTGTAGGCGTTAAGGGGATGTATCAGGAAGGGACGAGACTGTACCAAGTATTGGGCCTCAGGGGAATGGCAGTTGCGCACAGAGAAAGGATAGGAGGGAGACGCATGCTACAGAGAGGAAGGGGAGGGAGAGAGAAAGCAGGAGAGAGTGTGCCAGGAGTGTGGCGCACTAAGAGCAAATGATGAAGCGCACACAGAAGCGGGGAGATGAACGGAAGATGGCTCCTAGTGACCTCAGATCTCGTGCTTGTGCTTTTCGTTGCTGGAGAATCGATGGCACGGAGTCCTTTCTCACAGAGCAGACGTATCCCGCTCCTCTCCCCCAGTCACCGCTACAGACCGCGTTTGTTTCCGTTCGCTTTTCCGTTGTTTTTTTTCGTGACAGGTCGGGGAAGGGTGGTGCGGTACATGAAGCGAACGCACAGCCTGTGCGTCGAGCTGCTGTCCTTCCCCCTCCGCTCCGGCCAGTACGCCAGGTGAGGCAAGGGGGGGAGGGACGCGGAGAACAGGGACGAGATATCGCGAGAAATCTGAGGCCATGAGATTGATGGCGGGGGATGTTTGTTGTCTCAGAAGTAGAGAGTAAGATGACATGAGGCGTGTTGACGGGAACAGGCATGTTTTTTCTGCGGACCCGACGAAGCAGATACATACGCTTGTAAAACACGAACAACCTGACGACCAGCCAGGTTGTTGCAGTACTGTTGTCACAGGGACAATTCATTGCTGTTGCAGGTCTAATACACCTTGTCCACGCTAGCTCACGCTTTGCACAACCTGGCGATCACTAGATGATGGAACATGTTCCAGCCGACCCCCCCCCCCCCCAGCGCTGCCGCCACCGCTGCCCACCCTCGTTCCCAACAATGACTGCTTCGCCTTTTTTCCCTCGACTGCGCGGTGTCGATCGCCAGGGCTTTCGTTCAGCCAGGAGACGTGGTCGTGATCGAGCCTGACCAGGACAAAATTAGCGACCGCGGCGGCGCAGCGGTTGCGTCCACAGCGGCGGCGGCCGGCGCCGCCGAAGGTACCAGCGCCTCGGAGTCGTTGGCGCAACCCCCGGGCCTCTTGAACCCGGACTCAATCTTCGGCGAAGGCGACGACGAGTCCTCGCGGCCCTCTTTGCACACGCGGGCGGCTGCAAAGACGCTCCTGGCGGCGTCCTCTCTGCACCAGCGCCTGCAGGATCGCCGGAGGCGTTCCGCCGACGGGTCTGGCGGAGGAGGATCGAACCAGAGGCAGCGGCAAGGCAGAAAGAACGGAGGCGGCGGCCCCGTCGAAAGTTTTGGCGCCACCGTCGACACCTACTACACCCCCGCGCCGCCGCCGCCGCCGCCGCCGCCGGAGCCCGCTTGTGTTCCCGCCCCGGGTGACGATGGCGTGGGACCGGGAACCCATGTTGCCGGCGATAATGCAGCGGCCGCTCTCCCGCCAGCGGCAGACGGTGGCATGTCAACAGGGGTCAAACCGCTGCGCTCAGCCTATGCGGGAGGGGTGGCAACGTCGACCGGGCCTGACGATGAGGCTACGGGCATCTCGGCGGCAGCCGGAGCGAAGAGGCATGCGCGAGGTAGGAGCGCAGGCTCTGAGTTTGCCACGGGAGCCGGCGGGGGTGATGGCGCTCTGGACATGGTCGACGAGAAACGACGGGGCTCGGAGATCATCATGAGGCGCGCGTAAGTCGGGCGCCAAAAATAGCGGCACGGAAGGCTTTATTTGTTGCTGTTGTTGATGGTGGTCGAGGCGGTTCTCGGGGCAGCTTTATTTTCAGGTTAGGGTTAGGGGTGAGGGGCGAGGCAACGTTTTCATGCCGTGTGATGAGCAAGTATGTACGCGACACAGGGGGGCCTCCGCTTCACAATGGTAGGGACGCGTGCGCTGTGGCCAGAGAGCCGGTCAGCCACAAATCGCGACTAATACTTAGGCAGCGCACACCGAACATATGTACTTGTAACAGCGCGCATCTTGCCTCACGTCACGTCCCCCCCCCCCTCTACGCCGTTTCTCGTGCCTGCGAGAACCGCAGGGGGAAGCCGCCTCTCTCTCAAGGCCCGCTCCCTCCTCCTCTTCCTCCGAAGCCGAAGAGCGTCCCAACGCCGGCAACGGCAACCGTCGCCCCGGCCGACGTTCATGACGGCATCTCCGCGGGTGTTCCGGGCAGGAAGACTCGGACGTGGCCGGTGCGGGCTGAGAGCCAAGAGCTAGAGACCGGTTCGCGCGGCGGAGATGCATCTGGAGGGAGCGCAGCCGAGGGCGGAGAGGGTGATACGAGTCCGGGGGGGATCGCCGGCGGCATCTTGGGCTCCGGCGTCTGGAAAAAGGCTTACTCTGCAGCTTCGAACGCAGCCGCTACCGCTATAGCCGTGAACAACGACCTTTCTGCGTCGGCAACGGCCGCGGCAGCTAATTTTGCGAACGGGGGAGGGGTCCGGTGGATGGGAAACCGGGCCGGGGACGGCGGTCGCGACGTCGGGGATGCCAGTCGCAGCGGCGACACAGCTACTGTCGACCACCAAGAACGGGAGGAGATGGGCGATTCCATCGGAGTTGACGAGGAGGAGGGAGGGGAGAGAGAAGCGCCGCCGCCGCCGCCATATTTGTCCATCACCGTGGGAAATGTGAGCTGCTTCTTGCCGGACGTGAACTGGTCCGTGCAGATGCAGCAGAAGCGGTTCCTAAGGGTGGGGGACTCCGGGTACATCAAGTGAGTTACGGGGACTTCGGTCGCGATCATTGTTGGCGGTGCCATGCATGTATTCCTTGCGTGAAGAAAGGGGGTCGGTGTCTGTGGGTTCTGGCTTGACTTGGGATGCAAAGGGGGGCACCGGCGCGCGTGAATCGAACCGCGTTGTCCCCGCTACGCGACAGTGCTTTGCTCAGGAGTGACCGCACTGTCGGACGAGTTTGGTCCTGACAATGGTCGTTCCTGATTGTCGATCCGCTGCTCCTCCACTCGTTCTCATCTTGTTGTGCAACACTCGCGGCAAAAGGCAACCAGCGTGTTGAAGCACCCAAACCCATTTGTCCTTCCTTGCTTTGTCCGTTGTGACTTTTCCAGCGTCTGGCTGGAGGGCGTGTCGCTGTCTCTCTCCCTTGACCCGGGAGCCGGCGTTGATTCCCTGTTCGGTTCTTCCCGACGTCCGTCGCAAACGCCACCGCCACCACCACCGCCACCAGCCGCTCCTCGCCATCTTCCTGGTACCTCGGCCGCCGCCGCCGCCGCCGCCGTCGGAACAAGCGGCGGCGACAATCAGGGCGCCCCCCCACGCCCGTTGTTCCCGTTCGTGGCAACATCATCACAGTCACCGAGATCCGTCTCCGCAGAACCTTCAGCGGAGGGAATAGACGGCGGGAGCGTGGCCGAGAGGGGTGAGGGCGGGTCCTCTTCGGCTCCCGTCGACGGTGGGAGTTCTGCTGCCGCCGGGAAGGATGGTGGTTCTGGCGGCGGCGGTGGCGGCTGTGGGCGTGGCGGCGGCGGTGGCTCTTCGAAATGGTCCAAACTGTGAGAGAGAGAAATGCTTGAGCCTTGTTGTGCTTAGGATTCACCCGCTCGAAAAATGAAAATGTATTTTTCGACGTCTGCTTTTGTTGCGCCGCTCTCCTTCACACGGCAGTTATTTTTGTTTTCGCTTCGCACTGTGTTCTCAGGTACGAAGCCGACATATTCTACCCTAGTCTCAACAAATGTCCATACGGCTGGTTCTGCATCACAGCGCGTACGGTAACACTTTGAAGTTTTTGCTGCGACACGACACACACCTCACGGCACTTTGATGCGTACGTCTGCCGCGCCGCAGGAACTCGATGTCAACAGCCCTGTCGAAGGGCACCGGCAAGATCAAGCGGCGCTTGAAAGCGACAACATCGCAGCAGCAGCAGCAGCAGCAGCAGGCTCAGCTGCAACGAACCGGCCACCACCAGCCCGCGTCGACTGTTTTCCAGCCCGTCTCCTCTTTCTTCCCCCCTCCGTCTCCCACCGCCTCCTCCGAAAAATCGGATGCCTTCTCCTCTTCCTCCATCCCCTCGACGTCACGAGAACGCGCGGTAACTCCCCCCCTTCCTTCTGCCGCCACCACCGCCGCCACAACACCGGAAGCCCTGCCGTCATCGAGGTCGGTGCCGCACTTGTCGATCTTGGGTGACAACGACGCGGACGGCGGCAGCGGTTCGTTGGTATTCGCAACGGCGGCGGAATTTTCTCCTTTGGCGGCGGCGGCGGCAAGGAGGAGGGGCAGCGGCCTCGAGGGTGACGCCCGGGAGGCGGGGGAATTGCCTCCGTCTGGGATTTCTGGCGGCAGCGCAGACGGGTTTTTGAAGGTTGGCGCCTTTTTTTCGTCTATCTTATTTTCGAAGGAGCTCGTTGTTCTGTTTGAGGATGGAGGTGTAAGCTCTCTGACTATGTAGTTCGAACCGTGGGGTTGCCTGTGTCGTTTTTGTTCGCACCCGTATCCGCAAGTGCTAGCTTCGAGCAGCGCTTTGCTGTTTTTGATGGCGTTTTCAAACTTCGAGGGTCGTGGTCTTGTGGGGCTTCTCCCCGAGGCTGGGGTTTCTTTCCCCACTGTTTCGGTAGCTTCGAAATTACAGTTTGCCCCCGCTCCTGCTGTATGTTTGACAGCAAGCTGCGTTTTAACTGTTGGGGTTGCTACTGTACCTGCTGTCTTTGGCACTTTTTTTGATCTGTTTGGGGACCTGATTGCACTCGTTTTGTCGCTTGTGCCTGTGAACGAATTACAATAGGTGACGGCGTGCAGCTGTAAGGTCGGGTCTATCCGCATCGAGGTGGACGGCAGCAAGCACGACGGCATCTACAACTTCCTGGCTAAGGGGCTGGGCGACACGATACGGTGCGTTTCCGTCGGTGGTGTCTTTGATACGTCTCTTTTCACTGTTCGGGGATTTCATTGGCACGGTGGTGGGGGAGGTTGGGGGAGGGTGTGTGTGTGATTTTTTTATACATTCTAGTATTATAGTTGTTGATGACTTGAATGTACGTTCAGGCTATGCACCACGGGAAATTGGCCATGGTCATGGGTGGCTCTGATGTGTCGAAGTGGAAAGCGGGTGTGGGGCAGGGGGGGACGGGGGGTGCACCTTACTACCGTGTGTTGGAACTATTGTTGCTGGAATGGGCCTGTTTATTTTCTCGTTCCAGTTCTGCTTGCTCTCTACTCCAGACTGCCTGTATCAACGGCAATTTGAAGGAAATACAGGCCCGGAGGACAGTCGCAAGTCCATCCGTCTAACCGAAGATCCCGTTTTTTCGTCTTTTGCGATCCGTGTGTACAAGCGACGCTGTGCGTGAGGCCGTGGAGAAGGCGTTTGCTGAGGAGATCGGGAAGCTCGTCGAGGGCATCAACGACCGGATCGCCGAGATTTGGTCCGGGAGTGCCCCGGTATCAAAGGTAATGACCACCGACATATGCTGTATCCCCCGCGGTCCTCGGTGTTGGAATTCACGAATGCTTTGGTGTTCGATTGTGCTCGCACCGACGCCAATGCGTGTTCGACCAATCGGAACTTGGCGGACAGAGTTGATCAAATAACAGCCGCGGCTTGTTGCTAGTATTTGTACCTCTTTCGATTGGTTGGAGTAAGTGTACGAACTGTCGGTTCTTTACCGACGCCGCATACCGATTCCGTCTAGAACCGGCAATTAGCAGGCAGAAGTTCAGGGTCTACAGCAGTAACACACGGTTCGCGTTTTTACAACACAGCACGGAAATGCAATAAACGCTTCCGATTCTGTCTCGCACACAAACCGAACCCTTCTGCATCCCAACAACCACTTGACCCTCGCTCGGCCCTCTGGCACCTTGCGATCGGATGAACAAACAACAAGTGTAGTGACCATGTTCGGTGAAGGCCATCAAACAAGAAATCTGTTTCCTCACGTCGGATAGTCGAAGGTCTAACAGCCAGCAACAATTCAGACAACTGCTGTGGTCGGCGGGTCTGGAAACCCATGAATGACAGCAGTTACAAGGTTCTCACCCTCTCCGGACCTAAATTCGTCTCTATCGGTTCGTTTGTCGTTCTTGTTGCCTAATTTTCTCCCCACCTCCCGCCCGCGTGATCTGATGGCTGTTCGCTTTTAATGCCATGCCCCTGCATGTCGCATCGCTCGGAGAGAAGAAGCCGGCCAGGTTGGTTTGTGCCGCCGTTCGGGCGCAGGGTCTGCCCAAGGGGAAGACAGACCTCTACGTTAAGGTAAGGTTGGCTTGGTTTCATTGTCACCTCTACGGTAAAGCAAGAGTATTTCTATGGGTCTTCCCCGTGGTGGCGTGAGAGCTTCTGGCCTGTCTTGCTGCCGATGTTCCATGCTTTGGTGCGTCCAGTACTTCAACTTGTGGTAGGAACAATCCGAGCAGAGATGGGTTTGGACGGGTACAACGCCCAAAAACAGCAACCAATACGCAGCACATACAGTATGTGTAGTCCTTCACAAAAAAAGTCAAGTATTTTCTTTTCAACGCGTGGCGGACTCTCTTCCACCGTCACACTGAGTTCATTGGCGACCGTTTCGTACGCACACGCTCCATACATTGTTGCGATAATAGCGTGATTTTACGGATATGGGACCGAGTGGTTTTCTGCTCTGCTGACAACGAAAATACCGACAACCGCAACAATATAACCAACAACAACAACAACAACAACAACAGCGGCAGCAGGAGCATACCCCCCACCCCCGCCCCAAAACAGGTACGCCTCATCAAGAAGGACGGCACCCAGCTTGAGAAGCGCAGCACGGCTGCCGTCGGAGCTGTCGCCACGTCCGCCGCCATGTCCATCCCAATCCCTTCCATGGCCACCATCTCCAGCAACAACAGCAAGGACAAAGAGCACGAGAAGAAGCAGAAGGAGAAGGAGGCCCCGGCGCGCAATCCGTGCTGGGTGGGGTTGGACAACGGTGCGTGCTTCGTTGGTGGAAAACATCCGCCGTGGTTCTCCCGAAAAAGCAGAGGCCACGCTGCGGAAGAAGAACATGTCGACGACGAACAGAAGTATATTTTTTGAACGAAAAAACAAAAAGCCAAGCGAATGCAACAATAAAACAACACCGGAGAGACGAAATTGTTTGTGTGCAACAACTTCGGTGGGATGGGACACAACATTTTGCTGGTCCTTCGTGCGTTGTTCGTGTCTGCGCAGATTTGTCCATGAACCTTCCGGAGGAAGACCCGGGCCGCCTGAGCTTGGTCTTTGAGGTACGACCGAGGTCTGCGATATTTTATTTCGCGGTCTGCGTGCGTATCCTGAAAATATCTGTGTTTGCTCAGGCCAACGGTTGATACCAAAATACCCCTCGACCTCATCCCCCGTGCGTGTACCTTTTCTTTGCGTGCTGTTGTCGTTCCCCAGGTGTGGCACAGCGGAACACTCGCCAATGCTCTTGTCGGATCGACGCGCCGGGTGACCATGTCGGAGATTGAGCCGCCGTCCCCTGCAGCAGCAGCAGCGGCGGCGGCGGCTGCAGCAGAAGCAGAAAAAGAGACGGAAGAAGACGAGGAAAGGGACGGGGGCGCCACCCCCGCGACCGTGTTGAGGGATTCCGACTCGAACACCTTGCGGTTAGACTTGGATTCCGGCGGGAAATTGATTGTGAGTGTTCGGGTCACAAAAAGGAGTTCCAGCGGTAGGTAGCGGCGGGGGCGGGAGGGGGCGGGGGTATAGGGGGGGTACAGGAAAAAAAAAGCGCTCACGATGTGCGGTGACATCGTCACTCTTTGGTGCTTGCGCGTGCAAGAATGGCTTGAGCGATCACCCGGTTTGGCTTGTGCTGGGTCCACTTACCTTCAGCCACCTGTCACGTTTGATCCGCTTCCAGAGCGCGTATAGAGCGGCTGCATAAGGTGCCAATTTTTGCCCCGTCCTAAGTTGAGGTCCTCTTGTACCATACCGCACCCGCTTCCCTCTCGTCGATGCAATCAAACCCCTTGACAGCTGCCTCTCCGCCCGTTACATCTTCGAAGGTTAAATTGGCCGTGTTCGGGCTAGCAGCTCACCGTAGGCGCACCAGCTTAAATCGACCAGGGGATGGAGGCGGCGGTGGTGCCGGTGCAGGGATCCCCGAGGCCGCACTCGCGGCAGCTGAAACCCAGAGGGCATTACGCCGATGGGACTAAACTCTTTGTAGATCGGTCACAGTTTGCCATATGAGGAACCAGTGGCTCGAAGACGTTGTTCTGGTCGTGAGCCCTTTTTTATTGCACCAAGGTTTGAAAGGTGGCGCCGAATCTGGATGGTGTGTTTACACCGGGACCTCTTTGATGAACCTCGGCGATTCCCCGTTCCAGCTGCATAGGGGGGGTCACATGAAAACAGGACACGGGTTGTCTTCGAAAAATGATACAAAGAGGTTTTGGTACATAATACACAGGCCGCTTTCATACAGTGGTGGACGTTTGATGTGGAAGGAAAGGGAGTTTACTTCACTCTCGTGGCAATGAATCTGGTCTTTTCGTATTTCTTAGAAATGATAATTATCCGCTACGTGCACGTTTTCACACAGGGGCGGGCGTTAGGTGTGGAAGGAACGGAGTTTTACATCACTCATAGCAATGCATGCTGTCTTTTTTCAATCCCTAGAAATCGTCCGAGAGAGAGAGAGTACGCGCTCGTGACGCAATCCTGTGGTATTTTGTTTGCCTTAAGCTGCAGATTCTACGGTTCATTAAGATTAAGGCCGCACGGGGATAAGTGTGGTAGGTTTTGGCACCGGTAGGAGCGCCAAGTATGAAGCCCCCAAGACGGGTGAGTAAGACGCCTCGAGAAACTCGTAGGGGGCGGGGCGCTAGGGGCAGCTATATAGCCGAACGTATTGATTCCCCAGTTGAACTCGTGGGATCCCAACGTTGAACGTGTGGGTTAGCATTTTTCACTCTTTAACGGTCTGATGACTGGCTAGGGTTTAGGGGCATATGGAGGCTTGGGTAAGGTTGGGGCTCCGAAGAATAGCTATCGTTGGGTTTGCGTTTGGTACTTGTTTTTTGCCTTGGGCAGACATTTTTGTAACACGAGAGGCTCAACATTCGATGTTTTTTTTTTGTCATGGAGCGCAAGAGCGACGCTTCTAACAACCACAAGCTCCTACATTGTAGGTTTTCGTGTACAGTACCACCGCCGTGTTCACGGCACTTGGTCGGCTGACGAGTGCGCAACACGCCCCTCGAGGCAACCGGAGGGCCAGGGTGTGGTAGCGACGTTTCCAACAACGACGACACTGCCACGGCCAGCGAGGAAGACTACCCAAACGACCGTTGTTCGGGGAGGGCCCCGGCCATCCGGCACAGCCGCGTGCAATCACGCCTGGGGGGCGAGGAGTACTTCAGAATACACCGGAGGACCTGCAGGTTCACCCGGTCGACTTGCTACACTCGCCGTAGACAGCGCAGGGAGACGAAGCGCCGGAGTACACAGGGGTTCTGTTTTGGGAACGCAGATTCCCGTGGCGTCGTGGCGCAACAGGGGGCTCGCAGATAGATGTCGGTCAACTGAGTGGCAGCCAAGAGCTGCCAGCGGACCTGATTAGAGGAGGAGTCGCGGGGAATGGGGGAGGGAGACTGAAACATCAGTCTAGTTTCGTGTGGATAAATAGCCAGTTTCTTCGTTTTTATTTCGTTTTTGTTTGCGATTTACCTCCCTTGCTTTAGCCATCTGTGCTGCACGACTGGCCCTAAGAACCACGGATGCGAGCGAGCGCGAGCGTTCACACCTGGTTGGCGATTAGCCTGCAGTAACCGGCAACGTGTGGAGATACATGGGTGTGTCGGACGATGCGCGTGGTTGTCTTGTTTTTCGGCTTTCTGTCGCAATTTATGGCGTAGAGTCCTTCCCAAACCTCAAGGACGGGGGGCGGGGTTGGGTGGAAACCGCCGTCCCATGACGTCGACTCTATACCTGTCACCCACAGCAGGAGTGCCTTGTTGTGGGTTATTACGCATGCCACCACGGAAATTCTTTTCTTTGCCTTCGCACAGTAGGGAAGAGCAGGCGCACGCGCGTTTTCCACCTGATACGGAGGGGGGAGGGATGTATTCAGCTGCAGCTTGTTTCAATTACATTGGCCTTCGCCCTAGAGGTCAAACCAGGTTTTCAACGTGACATGTAGACAGAGAAAGACATATGGCTGGTTCATGAAGTAGTGTTGATGCTCTTTGGCGCGTCAAAAGACGTTGAGTTTTTTCCTCCCTCTGGAACGTGATGGGTGGTATATAAGAAAAATGGCAAATTGAATGCCCTTTTTTCCGTTTTTGATGTATTAGGAGCAATCGCAGTTCTTACGCATGCGAACGTTCGTCGTTGTGCCAAGCCCACCAGAGGCGATTTACGGAGGGTGGGTATTGTAGTGATTTCCTGTGTTGGATGTGTAGGAATATTGCCGCCAGCTGCAGCTACATATTTGCACCACCACCAGTGCATGGGGATGATGTGTTGTATATTCTTGCAGAGGAGGCTGTAGCTCAACGTCAAAGAACCAGGATGGGTCTAGGTTGCGGCGGATCACGCGTGTATGTGTGTACGACCGACTTTCTGTGTGTGAGAGTTTATTGAAGGTGCACGCAACAATATCACTGGAAGGTTTCTTTTCCTACCCGAGACAGGCCCTGACGGGATGAATGTGTTCAAGTCCTCGCAGGGAAGTTTGAGCTTTTCAGTATCGAAACGCCTACCGGAGACTGCTCTCCGGGGACTTCCATAATCAAATCTCGAACAGCGATACATCGTCAACATGAGCGGTGTAGGTTTTCGCCGCTGTTCATTCGCCGATATGATCTCTCATAGTAAAAAGTAAACAGAATGCTCGTCGACCCATCCATTCCCCATTTGGAAATCGGGGTTTCTGACGAGGCTACAAGAATCGACCAAGATTGTTGTGATATAAGGCAAGAGCTTGCTTATTCTGGCCGTGAATCTCGAGTAGTTTTATGAAAAACGTGTTTGGGTTATCATGCCACCAGACACCACTACTCACCGGGTCGCTCGTGTCACTCGCCACCTATACAAGCTAAGCAAAGGCTGTCACACCGTAACTTGCACCCCCAGCTCACAAAGCCGCGTCCCATACATTTGCCCTCGTTATTTTGTATACCCGTGCGCATGATCACGTCGTTCCCTCTTCCGCGCCATCAAACGTCACCACCATAGCCGCAGCCCCTCAATCATACTTCCCTCCCCTCCCCGCGCACCCTTCGAACTTACGTCAAGGCGACCGCACCCTGTACCAACATCCTCCAACACTGCCCAGGGCGGAGTATTTCGTAACCTGGAGCGTACCTTCCATTGGGTTGCGTGCGCTGGTTGGATGCCTTTGAAAAAAACGCTTTCTCGCCATGTTGGCTTTCTTGCACGAACGATTAGAACGCGTTGGTGTTCCATCTCAACCCTTGTTGGATCGACCACCGCGACAACCTCATCGCTCGTAACCTTCTCCTACCCCACGAGAACCTACGGCACAAGTTCTTCATATTGCAGGCCTTGCTGGGTTTTCCGCCCAGCCAGCTGAGGTCCAACCGAACCCGTTGCTCACCGACACTTGTCTCCCGCTTTGCACCCACGTGCTTCTGGACGTGAATGGTCGGAATAGGAGCGAAAGTCTATCCCACAAACCAAGGCATTACTTCATCGCCGCCACACCCGCGTTTCTTCTTTTCTCCTTGTGATGTGTGCTATCGGGGTTGGGTTTTCGTCGCTTGGCAGCGATGACATCGATGTAAAACAAGCCGATCACTTCGTGAGCTCGGCAACCAGATTCCCGCCTTGTTTTTGCATATGGTTTTTTATTGCGGTCACCATGAATGGTGGTCGAGTAGATTGTGTAGTGCGGGGTCCAGGACCCTCACTCCGCGCAAAGGGGATGATCGCACGTTGTGTTAAAATCAGTGATGTCGATAACGGGGTACCGGTTATAACCGGTTACAGGGTTCAGCGGTAGGTACCCTGGAAATCCCAGGTTATTTTTCAATTCCGGGGGACCCCTCACTGGGGGGGGGGTATTTTCACCTGCGGGCCCCCCTCGCACATGGCGCACACACTCACGCCAGCCAGCGCACACGACAGCATCAGTAGCAGACATGGACGAATCGGACGACGAGGGGGTCATGGTCTAGACTTGTGTTGGCCTTCGGTACTAGTTTGCAAAGATTGAAGCAGCTGTTGATGGCTCGGGCTCAAGGGTGGTTGTTGTTGATCTTACTCGGGGGCAGTTTTGTGTTTTTGTTTCGGTCTGATGTAGCAAGACGCAGAGAGCTGCGGGCGGAGGGGAAGTGTCAAGGGGGTTCTCTTTTGTTTCAACTGGCGGAAGTTGTTTCGTTCCTTCTCTCTCTTTCTCCTTCCTGTCGTTGATATTTATTTGTCTTTTTTTTTTCCCACTTGCTGCGCGTTGTTGTGAGATCTATAGGAGGCACATTACGCACTAGCAGATGAGAAGACAAGCTTTTTTGTTTTTCGTTTTTCTCGGGGCTTTCCTATATTCTCATGGCCGAGAAAAAAAATATATTCATGACAACATTCCAATATTGCACCTGCATTGTAACGTGGTTCAAAGGTTCAAGGTAGGAAGCTGAAACGATACACACGACTGCGGCAGCAGTGGCAGCAACGCGCACAGAAGTGCACCTTGAACAGCATACAGCGAGCCGCTTCCAAACGAACAAAATATCGGACGTATACGTTAAATAACACCCCGGGGATGGGCCGTTTTCGTCCCCGCTATGAGCGGTTATAACCGGTACGTACCGCCGAAGGCTCATTTCCGGTTATTTCCGGTCAGTACCCTGCTCGAGCCCGGTTATCGACATCACTGGTTAAAATGGTCAAGAATCCTCGAGGCAGTTACACAGAGCTTACAACTGTCTCTGGAAGTGAAAGCACCAGAAAGTAAATTAAGTCATACGCAGCTGTCATCCGTACGCAAGGAAGTAAGCACAAGATGCCGACCACCCTTAGCAGGATGCAGCGCACCCTTCATGCGACTCGCCGAATACCTCACGGCGCTTCGCGCTTGGTGATGTGAGGGCCTGGTCCGGTGAGAACCCGGCGTGCTCCGTCCCGGTTTTGTAGGGATGCGAGGTCAATGGTCTAACGACTACTGCATGCACGATCATGAGTACACCCCCCCCTCCCCCCAACCTTGGGCGGGCTCTATCCTCTCCAAAATACACCTACAAACCTCCGCCGGAGCGCTCAGGCTAAGCCACGTAGAGCCCAGCTTTGCACCTTGCATAAGAGAGATAGATGGGGGTCCCAACATACTGCCACCCGCACCGAAAAGAGAACAACCCTGTCCGCTAAGAGAGGTTAGTTTTAACGTACGTCCGAATCCTATCGCACCCTTCTCAGGAGAAACACCAATAAGTCCTCCTATCACCGCCGTTGCCGCCTTTCAAGCCACACAAGGAACGCTCAACTTCAACGCCCTCACCTTCCCCCCTCCGACCGAGGACATGAACAATCGAGCTCCGCCACAAAAAGTGGGAAAGTCTACAGATCAGACAGAGAATAACAACTTGTTTGTTGTAACTCCGTCTACGCGGAATCACTGCAAAACAAAGGACAATAACAAACAGTTGCTTCTGCCCGCACTGCCGTCGTGCCGCACTTCACATATATATGCCGTTGCGACATGCCACTTTTTCTCTACCCCCGCTCAACACAAAACACCAGGCATTGCTGATTAGTCACCCAAGAAATAAGAAATCGCAAGCGCTGCCTTTCTCTTCTCAAAAACAAACGTTTGCCTACAACCAACTGACCCGGGACAACACCCACCCTTAAAAACCGACTTCTTTGACAACCATAGTGGCCTCTTTTCGGTTGCACACTTCGTTCGACATAGAAATATTGCCAGGCAGCAAAGTTGCAGCTGTGCGGACTTCGGCAAACGAGCGATAGGGGGCAACAAGCTCCGCCACAACGAGCAACAACCCTTGGGCACCCCGAGCAACCGAGCGGCACGCAGCGTGCCGATTATAAGATACGATCATGAGCGGCTTGCAGCTTCCCGTATGTTGGTGATGCACTCTCCAACTGTTGTGCTGCAGACCTCAGTGTCCGCGCTTAAGACTAACTCACGGACGGGTAGCACATGGCCGGTGCGCTCGGTGGCATTACAATGTGCACCATTTCGTTTGGACCCGAAGTCTTGACTTTCAATTACCCTAAATGTTGATGGACTGGGGGATGTTGTCGGGCAGTAGGGTGGTGTAGGCCATGTTGTTGGCGGCCCTCTTGGCCTTACCCCTTTGGCGCCAACCGGACACCACGTCGGCGTTGCTGATGAACAACACGAAACAGGATGGGTTTTGTCAGGGTTTGTGTCGTGGATTAGGTGGTCTTGCATGCCGTAGTCTTTCGACCACAGACCCGGGGAGGGGGCGATGGGGGGGTGCTATTGGTGAAGGGGCCGCCGGGGGGCGAGCATATTTATCTTCCGAACCACAACATATTTGGTGGTGCGATAGGGCGAACAAGAAGGAGGCGTAGTAAAAAGACAGGAGGAGCTCCTTTGAACAAATCAACCAAACCTAAGGCTTGCCAAGCACTCGGAACCGGTATATTCTTGACTTGTAAACCATACCACAACTTCGGAGGAGTCCTCGCTGCACCCACTCGGAGTAAAATACTCGAATATAGATTTTGCGGCCTAAAAAATAAACATTTTCCTGCTGTTTCAACGATTTTCGGGTAGGGTATGCTTGTATTCGCACACCATACTTCTACTACTTTTTTTGGCAATACGTCGTCCGAGCAGAGACGGACCATCAAACCCGCCGGGAACCCTACACTCACTCGGCAACCAAGTCGTCCTCGATGTCCTCGATCGCTTGCTGGAACTTGGCGAGGGGTTCGGCGATACGGTCATCGTCGAAATTGTGTGTCTCGTACTGACCAAGCCTGCGGTTACCATTGCACAACATATAACAAATTGAACCAACCGCCGCAAAGCAAGGTGGTCAGAGCAGAAGGAAAGGGCTGACGACGTTTTCGACAGGTGTCACCGGTCCAAGGATAACAGGTGCCGCATGGTCAATGGAAACTCAAAAGCACAGCAGCGACAACGTTACTGTCTTGCTTGCAGGACGAAAGTTCCTGGAAAATCCGGATCGTTTGAGCTGGGGAAACAATGATAAGCGTTGAAAACAACTACAGAAATGTAAACACCATGGCTCGTGGAGACGCTCGCACAAATGAGACGTTTTACCAAGAACCAGGACGGATTTCGAGGACACGACAGGGACCACAATAGGATAAACGTTTGGCCAAGACCAAAGCAATAGCTGTAGCAGTACAAGGACCAGGACCGCACCTGACTTGAGCAACAGCTAAGAATGCACAGTCACAGCTAGAGCAGCGACAGGAACAGCAGGACGAAACCCTTCACGCCGAATCAATCAACAGCGAATCAACAACCTTCCACACGCCCAATCAGGCGAGCTAACGTTTGATTACGCGTCTCAGTCTGTCAGAGAACGCACGACGATAAGGTGTACTGTGGCATACGGTGCCACAAGGTACCACGAAGCTTCGACAACGCTTTACAACTCACTTCGTGTGGAAGATGTCTCCAAGCAAAGTGAGCATGGCCACGTGGATGGTGGCGATTTCCATGGGGGGCAGGTAGTTCATGAATTCGTCGAACGTCCTCTCCCTCTGACCATAACAAAACATGATAGTCAAAGACAATACAAAGGCGAGAGACAAGACAGACGAGCAGAAGGATAGGACGACACAAAAAGAGTAAGCAAGCAGCGTTACATAAAAGCGTCACCCAGCAGGAAGTTATTATGTTCCGATGTCGCTGTGAGACGACTACTACCAGCAGTACGAATACATGGGCAATCGTGGCTTCTACATAGCAAAACAAACAAAACTCGGCTAAACCGGAGACAAACATCTAAAACGATCTGTCCACAGCGTGGAGGCTAAAGGTCTCGGGTATCTGTCTACCCAACCTTGCCACCGCGTGCAAACAAGGAAATTAAACGGTGAGATCAACGCCCGAAAACGGACATAATGTAGTGCGCGCGCAGGCAAACAAAGACCTACTGCCGCACGGAGTAAATGCACGGCACTCGATGTGACATATGTATCGGTGGGTGCAGTGCAAAAACTACATGGCACTCTAATAATAGACTTCTTCGCACACTACCGTTCGTGATTGCAGGAAAAATCGCACCCACTAAACTTGGTGAAATACCTTGTCGATGGGAGGAGGGGCGTAGACGGAACCGGGGCAGGAGGGCACGAACGACATGGACGGCTTTTGGGGGAAGTTGACCGCGGCGTGGAGGGTGCTCGCAGAGTAGATCCAGCTCGCGATCACCTGTTCAAGCGCGTGGTCGTCGGGTCAAGGCGACTTAGGAGTACACACAAAGGTTGGTTCCGGGCGACGAGACTTTTGAAACCGCAAGAAAAAAGTATAGACTCGTGGTGCGTGGATGTACGGCTGGACGCCGAGAAGAAAAGTTAGATCCCCGGCTCTGGAAATACAAAACGACAAGGCAGAGATTCCCCAATCAATGCTGAGAATCCAGTCCACACCACAATACGTTCATGAAAACTGCTTAATACTTCTCGAACCTACCCTCAAAGCAGTAGGCCTCCGCCTACGAAAACGAACAGCCATAGGGTCGTACAATTTGTTTGCCATTGACAGCGCGTACCGTCCTCATTCTTGGTGTCCTCACGAATGTCTTGCTACGAGAAACAACAAGAACCCACAGCAACAACAGCAGCAGTACCTTGGCGATTAAAGCCTTTTTGTCGTCGGTGGTGTAGTAATCCTTCAGCCAGTACACCTTGCCGATGTCCACCAGCTCCTCGATCATCGCCTAGTGGCGTTGTGCGAAAAGCAGCCGTCGGCGTTAATCTTTCGATCAGTTCGTTGGGCTTCTGGAGACGCACAACATCACCTCCAAAATGAGGTGAACCCGCTTTTCTGACACTGGCAGACAGTCTGTACATGATACCAACCCATTCAGCCGAACGGCTCGGCAGAATCAGCAAACCCCATCACTAGCATTGTGATCTGAAGACCAGCGCGTCCAAAGGCTGCGACCACTCTCCAGAGAGCCCCGCTCCATCCCTTCAATTCCGGACAACAGCATCAGGAGAAACGTATGGCTTACCTGGAGCTCGTAGTCTTCCTCCACGTCCTTGTCGCTCTTGTAGTAAATCTGAGAGGGAGGATTCGGCATCGTCGCGAGTACATCGCGGTCGTCGGAGACGTTAGGCGTAGTCATACATCGGTTTTCCAGGAGAGAATAGTCATCCCGCGAGGAGATAGGACCGAGGAGAGGAGGGAGGAAGGGAAACACGAGGGAAGGGGGTGCCTTACGCCTCCCCTGGACACATCGGAACTAATGGCACCGAACAACACGCCTGCTTGAGAACCTTGGGGTTCAGAAATCCAGGCTAAGGAGATCGACACTTGACGAACTTGACCGCAAGAACAGGTGGTCAGTAAAGAATCCTACGCCAAGCCTCTGCGATCCTTGTTAGGTTACCACACAGAGGAAACAAATGAACGCCAGGAAACCCAACAGGTGCGCAAGTGGCTGCGTCTTCTGCAACAAACAACCACTCAAACTAGGTGGGAAGCTTTTGTTGCAAAGAAAAATAGGACCTACGTACGAAGGATTAGGTCCGTAAAGACATGACCTCACGCGACGTCAACGCGCATTCGCAAGCCCCCAGCCCGACATTTGCGACCTGATACGACGTGCCCTACGTGGAGGCATGGTCATGTAACCCCTACTCCACTGTCCCAGTCCTAACTCTACTCCTGGGTTTGACCTTCACCCGAGCCCCGTGATCCAGCCCAGAAATCCCAAAATCTGGGAGGTATATAACTTACGTCGAGGTACTCCTTGACCCAAGTGTGCGTCGCTTCCCAGTACCGCATGCCGTAGTCGCGGTAAGGGTAGCGCCCGGGGAAGTCCTCCTTGGTGATCTGACGGGAGGCGAAGTCGGCCTCGGGGGAGAAGTCTTCGGCGATGCGGTTGAAGAACTGCGAGGTTGGTTGGGGGGCAGGGTTTGGGGCTACGAAAAAAGAGGGGTCTTCTTGTTGCTGGTGTAAGCGCAGGTTCTGCATGTCCAAACAGCAGAAGAAACGTACAAGTACTCTCGACTGGGAAGAGGGTATGTACACCACAACTAATGGTGTGGATGTGACACGTGATGCCGAACGAGCCTCGGTGTACGAAAAACGACGTCACCGACATAAAGGAGAAGGGGAGGGACGGTTCCGAAATAAATCAACAGATTATCACCGAAAAAAGAAAAGAGCGTTTCACGGTACATTCTCGGGATGACCCGTTTCTCGAGACCCGTACAGGGGACATGCGAAAACATGGAACAAGAATGAGGGTGGAAACGACTTGGGAAAGTGTGTGTGTGGGGCTATGTATCTTCCTGTGTTCATTCCCCCGTATTCAGACTAATATATATATATATATACGCATGCGGAAAGGCTGGCGGGGGGTGCACACGAGTACGGAACAATGCGCGATTGAACAGCCGTCGAAAACTCTCTTCTACACCCCCTTCCGGCGACAAATTCCTCGCTACGGAGGAATTGATCGGAGCTTTGGGAGATCGACCCAAGGATGTGAAACGCTAGCTTGCAACACGGCGGTTGCTGACGTGATCTGTTGTGAGGACAAACCTGCTCGAGAACTAAGTCCCATGATGACTCGATGTCGTTCGCCTGGAGAATGTCCAAGGCGCCGTTCGGTTGAATCAGCAGCTGGCGGTTAGGGTGTAGCAAAGAGCAGGAAGGCAAGGAACGGACGGACAAGAAATCGTGGTAAGAACCCGAGGAAAGCGTGACGTTTGACATATTGCAGTACTGCCGTAATCATATTGTACACTTCGCGTGCATGCAAAAGCTACGCGCCCACGAGCCGGCACGGAAAGCCGGAAGGAACAAGCACCAGCGAACGATCGGTCCGCCCAGCCCCTTGAACAAGGCACGCAACACTTAGCGACAACAACCGCCAAGACGTAGCCGCCCATCAGGCATCACATTCCATGCTGCAGTATTACTTTTGTCAGCCTGTGTTAAACGTGACCACGACATAACCGCGAACTCCCTTCGTATCTGCCACGGGGAAACAACCAAGACCATCGAGAGCGCACTCGGTTTGTCGCAAAAAGCTTTCAGCGAAAAACTAAGCACCGCCCACGGCCAGTCTCGACTCGTTGTTGATGCTCCTTGACCCCGGCCGGTTCGTCTGTTCTGACATGATAATTGAGCCTGCTGCCCTGTCAATTCTGTCCTGTACACATGGTCCACCACACTCACCCGCGGCTACATGATCCGAAGTACAGATGCATATTGTGACAACAGTTTTCGACGCGACTCACATCCTGCGCTCCCCAGTTGATAAGGGCGGTCCCCTCCATGTGGGGCTTGAGGAGGTCGTACACAGGGTGTTCCTTAGGGAGGCAGCGGTTTACGGCTACCATCGGGCCCTCAAGCACGATGTGCGTGCTGCCGAGGTGAGACACGACCTCGTGCATGCTGGAAGCGAAAGAATCAAGCAGCGCACACGTTCAGGTTAGAGGACCACGACACACACGCGTAGATGCACAGGAGACAGTGAACGTACGACGCTACCTACAAGGACACACACGCGTTGATAAAAAGTAAATAAAAAGGGGGGTGGGGTGGGGGACGAGATCACGCAGAAGACAACGTCATGACGATTGAAACCGAAGAAAGAGATTGACTACCGCAGAAAACTGCGGTATCGACACAAAAAACGGCAGGGAGAAGAGGCGCGAACGGGGCTCATGGGGCTTGTTAGGGGCATCATGGGTGGATATTTGCATTTCTGAGACACGTGTGGTACCAGAAACAATCTCGCGTATTCCCTGGTTTACCATACTGTTTGTGCGTTTTAGGCGAACATAGGGTAAGAGAGGAGTGTTTCGTACGGCTTTCTTGAAGTCAAGATTAACGAGCGGGGGTAGGGCAGCCTCCCGACTGACAACACGTACGCGCACGATGTCTCCCAAAGCGATCTTACATGAAGTCGGCAGACTCGAAGCATGCCTTGGCAATCAGCCAGTTGTTGCCGTCCTCAGGGGTAAAGATCGGGGTCGCCTCTTCTCCCTGGCTCAGCTGCTCCATAACGACATCACCGTCGCCGTGAAGACCAAACACAACAAACATCCATGCACGCCGACGACGGCATAATCAGCGGCGGCAACACGAACAATCATCAGGAAGGTTCAAAATCCACGAGCATAAACACCAGAAACATCGCAATTCGATCTACAGAATAGCAAACGCAGACAGCAACGACAGACACAACAACCACACCACAAGAATGAAGATGCCAAAGACAGCACCAACAGCGACAACAACCAAACACCAACAAAAACGAAACAGATTTATGGCGGAAAACGAACATATTTTGATTCGCACCACCAGCAAGAATCAAGAGTTGGGGATCGGGCCGTTTTGTCACCTGGATGCCGATGGGTCTGATGGGAAGGAGATCGTCGTCGATCACCTCAAACAGGGCCACGCTTGGGGTGAGGTACCTCTCGACACCCTCTACGGGGTAGGCTTCCAAGTCTTGGTCCCACGGAGACAACCGAAGAGGCAAGAGATCCAAGAAAAAACACGCGTATAGAGCAAGGACGGCACGCACTCGTATCCGCCAGCAGAGTTCCGGGGCATCTCTCCAGGAGAAAGCTAAGCGTAGTTGGCATCAGTATCGGCAGCATAACCTACCTCTTCGTCGTCTTATTCGCGCGTGCTTTACAAAAGACGAGGCATGAGATGGTGGCCAAAACACTGATCCCAAACAGCACGGTCTTCCATGAGCAAAGTACGTGCAACAACTAGCGCGACAGGTGGTAGTCTGGGGGTTTTGTGTTGTACAGCACCCATCCGCAGAAAGACGAAACGGAAGACAAAACGTGGCCTGCGTGTACCCCTTTTTCGTTTTTTTCACCTTGAGAAGCTCGTGGTCGACGACGAAGAGCTTGCCTTCGTCCATCAAGGAGTCCACCTTAGACTTCAGTTTCTGAACAGGGTGGCAAAAAGCACGACGCACGCGGTAGAGAGAACACAGGCCGGGGCGGGAGTGCTGAGAACACGAACATGGCACAGCAGTCTCACCAAGCGAATGCCGTTGCAGAAGATACAAACGCCACAGCCGATAGACTTTTGTCCGCGTCTCTGCCAAGAAATTTCACAAAATTGCTTTTATGAATACGAATAATTGTTATTTGGTGCAAGAGTAGGAATACAGTACTAACAGGCGCCATTGACCTTCTTACTTTGTAGACGGGGTCCGAATCGAGGACTTTGAGCTTCTCACGGGTGGACTGGGTGCACTTCTCCAGAACGACGCAGTTCCCGCCTGAAAACGGCGCAACACCAAGCGATCGATGGAATAGAATTACGATGATACTACTGGTGAGAGCAGGGTGACTGGTCGAGGCTACACGACCAGGAAGAGGAAACAAGTGGTACGCTAGCTCACGAGATGTAAGACAACCGAAATGAAACGCCAACAAAACGGTAGCCAAAAAAACACATCATCGCACAAGCCCTTCTTTGGACGGTTTAACACCGCATGGTCAGAATTGCTGTCGCCAACGGGAGCGGCAGTCAGTCATTCAAGAGTTGCAACCGACAACAATCGTTCACAGCTGGCCGCAGCAGCTGAAGCGAATCATTGCGAAAGGCACTGCAAAGATTTACCGTACAATGTGTCGTGTACGTGAAACGGCGGCAATCGGAGTTTTGGTAGAAGAAGTTGTTGCCTTCTTATGCTTACCCTGTAGGCGGAGGCGGGCGAAAGCCTCGTCGTCTTCCCAGTCGTACATTGACTTAGGGTTCTTGATCGGGAAGGCGTGGAGATCTTCGTAATCCCCGATGTCGGCGGGCTGAAAACGAAACAAGTATAAAAAAGGATGTGCAGCAATAGTGTAATATTTAAGCCGTTGGGGGGAGGGATACATGAAAGGCGCGGAGGTTCTAGCAGTGCGTTCTGTTACTCCGTGGGCTGACATGAATGTTCAAACTTTGTGTCCACAGATCAGGGCGCCGTAGACCCAGTTTTGAAGCGACACCTATGGATTTTCTCGGGGCCTGACTCTAATCGCCCATGCACACGTAGATTCAAGACGGTCTTAGATCCAACACGGTGAACCGAGTAACATCGTGTTGTCCTGACCCAGATCGTTCTGTCTCCCTCGACCATAACAAAAGGGCAAGATTCTGCAAAGCGGAGATAGATCCATGACCGACCGCCAAAACCCTGCCAAAAATTGCAATAACAGAAAACGAAAGGCCTGGCTATGATTGTGGTCCACTCCACCAGCCACACCCACCCTCTCGTCGATGGCGGAGTTTCCACTGATAAGCTCCCTGACCCTGGTCGCGAACGTCTTCGCCTTCGCGGGGTCCGTGAGGGCCTCCATGATCTCGCCGGCACCCAAACTTCCCCTGTGAAAAACAACGTATCCCGGGGGGTGAGGGGGGTACACGCGGGATCATACACGGTCGCACGATGGCATATCCCTGTCGCATTCCCATCCACCACATACGGAAGCGGGGGCCAACGGAGTGTACCAGGGTCCCGTCATTGGACTGGCGGAGGTCGGAAGCCTGGGGTATAGAGGTTTAAAACAAAACGTGCAAGAAATTTGCTTGCTTGTCAGAGAAAACACATGTCCAACGATAGATGGTAGGTATCAGACCACACCTACCTTAGGGTTCCCACCGCGATCTTCAGAACGCTGGCAACGAGGTCCGTTATCCACGCCACCGAGGGGAGTTCGTCGTTGGGAGGAAAACCGTCCAAGTACGGCGCCCCCTCCGGGGGGCCCTTGTAATGGAATTGGTTGTGGTTGATCCCATCCCGGCAAAGCAATCGATCGAAGAAACAAACCAGAGAATACCGGCGACAGGCCAGAAGGACGACAGGAGGAAAGGAGATGGGGGCGAAAGCGATTAACACTTGGTGCGGGGTGCTGCTACTACTATGCAGATAAGGATAACCACGTGGTGCTGTTACTACGCAGATAAGGATAGCCACGTGGACGTCCGTCCACGAATGTATTCCGAGCGTGAAGACCGCAGCGACAGGCGCAGCAGCCGCAACAACCCCGACAACTACCTTGACGGCACAAAGTCGGTTGATGCCTTGCTTACAACTACCTTGACGGCACAAAGTCGGTTGACGACCTTGCTTCCAACAATCTTGTCGGGCGGAAACCTCCCTGCCCGCACAATCAATATACGTACCTCGGTGCTCCACCTGTACTCTTTCTTCCTCTCCTCTAGCTGCTCCTTGCGATGAGCCTGGTCGGCCTTTGGGTCTTGGGGCAGGCTGGTCTCCCCTTCACGGTTACCTGGGAAGAGTCGACACGAAATGTCGGTATGAGGCGGTGTCAACCCTTGTTCGATACGAGGCACCTGTACTATTTATGATGACATTTCTGTGCCTTGGTGCTCATTTCGTTGTTTAATTAATTATTGATGCGCTTCTTGCTTTGAGGGAAGAAACGACACTGCCAGCTGCAGTCGTGGCTGCTGCCAAACCAAAACTCATTCGATTTTGTTCTTATAACTTAAACATTCAAGTACAGAAGTTTCTACTTTTCGAGCATCTGGCGACATCCAGACGCCACTGACGACTATGCTATCAACGAGTACTGAATGAAAGTTGGAGTATATTCAGTATATTCTGGTGTGATACATACCAGTAGTCAAGGTAGGTTCACTTACTGGTAAAGAAGTCCGTGATACTGCTGAGCGAGAACCCGGCAATGTTGAGAGGCGCAACGGCAGAAGTCTCCACGCGTCGGTCCGTCCTCGTTGTCGGCCGGTTGTTAGCGCGAGGAGTCGGGGCAACGAAGGCGTCACCCATGGCGACCACGAGGGCCAGCACCGCTACTTTCATAGTTCGAGAGTGCGGCATCTTCAGGAGTGTAGGTGTTCCTGGAGAAATCGGCAGCAACAGTACAAACTCAAAGGTTGCAGCTTCTTTTACATGTAGTCACCCAGCTAATTACAGAAAGTCCCGCCGAAACGTTCTCTTGTTTCCCGCCAAATCAGCTATTAGTAAATACTGGTGCTGTTACGCTATATCTTGCAGAGTACCTTTAAAATCCGTTGGACCGGTTCTAACTGACGTAGGCACAAGCCAACACTCCAAAATATCGCTGTTGTGTTTGGAGGTATTGCCCGTGTAATGTGGTGCAGTACCAGGTTATTTGGCGTTATCAGACGGTGTGTTGTGACCACGTGGCAAGAGTCAGGAGTTGTTGTTTTCGAGTTATGCGCCCTTGGTCAGTGCGCGCTTGGGGTCTGGTTTTGTGTCGGGTGCAGGGGGTACACGCAAGGCGATAGGAAGGCATACCAAAAACAAAGAGTAGTGACAACCTGAATCTCTATCTATCATCTGTGGGTAGACGGTACACACTAAATAGTACACACGCTTCAACGCTCTCAAAAAGTGTCGTGCAAGCAACTATAATACCTAAAGGCAGCAATGCACAAAGGCAAAAATGTGTCGGTTAGCACGTGGTAGAGGCTGGTGCGTGTCTAGACGGAGAGAATGGCAGCTAGAGAATGTGAGTAGTGAGCACGACGGTCGAAGTGCGGACGGGTAATCTATTATTTCCCTATTTTTTGCAGTCACCACCCAAAGTTCAACCGCTGTTTACTGCTTGCTGTGCATAGTCCAAGCATACGGCGCAACAATCAGCAGCCCCCAAAATAATGGCATGGACGACGGAGATCTTCAACAACAAAATATCTAGTTCTCGGAAAGCACATTTATTTGTTCTGGTTGTGTTGTTTTTTTAATGCGAAAGCGCAATAGCCGCGCAGAACAACCAACCCTCTGCTGGTGCCCGTGCAGCACGAAGGACGCTCACTGATGCTGTCCAACGCAAGGGTCTTCCGGCAGCTCCTTGTATGTGCGTGACCAAGCCCTACTACTGTACATACATGTACATACATGAGACTGCCGTGGGTCTATGTAGCTGTCATCGAACCAGCATAGTCTACATACATACAGTCGTGGCGGCACCCGTGAAGCAAGCGCAGGCCGCTCTTTGGTCTTGAGGTGCAAATGCAGCAGAAAGGTGTCAGTCTGTCGTGTCTCGCTGGTTGGCACGGTTTTCTCTGCGCACTCCAGCGTCAAAATCACTTAATAATGTTTCTTCAAGTTGTCCGATATGAACCGTCCGACACCGTTCTGATGCCTGTGTGTCTCTGCCGAGTGTTCCCGCCGCTGTCCCGCGGCTTTCTCTTCTTGCATCTCGCAACTCTTTTTTCTCGTCGTTTTTTATTCACAGCAACGACCCGTGCACAACCGAGGTCGCTCTCTGAGATCCAGGTTCCGGGTGGTTATCATCATACTGGCCATCCATGCGTGTAGACGAAGTCCGCAGTCAACCCCGCGCGGAATACGCCAATTTGCACGAAAAGACAATATACTAGTAGGGTCATACCTACCTTTGCTCTCCATTCCTTTGTGAAAAGCCATCCACATGTATATATATATGCATTTTGCACATGTGCAGCAACAACGCACCATCGTCACCCGTGAAAGGGCGACCCCATATTGCCATTCACTCTGTTTCTGACTGTAATCATGTGCGCACATGAAGTTTCCGCAGTTACAATAACTTCCGATGATCACAATGGTTGGCGGAGAAGAAAGATTATGGCAGCATATGGTTTCGGCGGGGTTGAAGGTTGGCTACGGGGAGAGGCGAGATCTTGCGCGCATTGTAAGGCGGCTCGCGTCGTGTGAGTGAGTGCGAAATGCAATGAATGCTGTTTAGGTTTCAGGGATAAGTTGTTGATGGGTGACAAACAACCGTCGTCGTATGCACACTATTATTGTAGACAGACTTGATACGTGGATTTCTGTCACGTATTATTATATATATATACCGGTGTGGGATTTTGCCCGTCCAGGGCTTCTCCATGCGGGTGTACACATCATCATCTATCTCGCGACGAAGTGAGTAGCAAGGTGGACTACGTAGAACGATCATTTCTTTTCATTTTCTGGTGGGGCGTTTGTTTGGTTTGTGCGTAATTTTCGTTTTTTTTCGGTATTGGTTCACCACGTATTGGGGGAGCGCGGGCAGGAGGTGGAGGACAACAATCAGTGCAAGAAAATGTATATGATTACCTCTAGCTCGTATGTGTCGAACGAATTCCACGGGACACCGCCGTGGTTCTACCACATGGATGGTTTTAAGATGTACAGCATATCCACTATGCTACAAGTCACTGAGTGAGCAGTGACTTGACTTGTAGCATAGTGGGCATGCTGTACATCTTACAAAAGTACAACCGGGATCCTTCAGCCTGTTAGAGCTGTTGGACCTCGGTAAACCCCAGGGTTGTAATCCCTGTAACCAGCGCTGCCCCCATGCGGTTCATCGACTTACAGGGCGGGAATATGTGTCTTCACTTGGACGACTGGAATGTATACCGTCTTTCAGGCCTGTCCCAGACTTTTCCGGAAAAAAGGCGTCACAAGTGGTCCCACAGGGATTCGAACCCCGGTTGTACTTTTGTTAAGATGTACAGCATTTGAGCTGACTTGTAGCATAGTGGATATGCTGTACATCTTAACAGATGGTAAGATTCCGACTCCCGACGTTCTATGTATGTATGCCAACATCTCCGCAGGAATATGATTGTCTCTCTTCGCACAACACATCGCCTTCATACCCACTTCCTAAGGCACCCACAGTGAATGCAAAGCCGTGGGGGGGAACCTCGCGACCTCGCCGGAAAATTTTGAAAGTCCGGCACACGCGCAGCCGGACAAATAGAAAAGGTCCCTCACCAAAGAGAGAGTTCAACAATATTGCAGTTTATTGCCCTCTCTCTAAACGCAGGGCAAACAAATCGACTATTAAAATAGAGACAATAGAGCTATGGTTCACCGACGCAAAGGAGCGGAGTCTACACAGCGACGACGCCACGATGCTATGGAGGAGGACGAGATAAAGAGAAGCAGGCCCGCAGCTCCTTGCTTGAGGCACTCACTCACAGCAGTTGTTGTTTAACGTCTTGTCTTCTCCTGGTTGACCAGGGCCGCTCAGAGCACACTTGAAGAGTGCGAGGGTGGGGCTGGGATCCTGTTACCCTCTCAGCACTTCAATACCTGACATCGACACCATATATATATCCACAGGTTCAACGAAAATTCAGATATCGGTGGAACGCTATTTCACAGTACCGTGCTCCATTTTGTTGCCATCTTGTGCTACAGGATTTGGGTGTGTCCGCGTGAACAGCAGTGACCACAGGTGTGAATCTGCCTTTCTTTGCACTTTATACATATCCGTGCACGCAAGTGGCATTCCAGAATCTTCTATGGTTGAAGCTCGCGGCAACAACTATATTGTACTCTGCTTCATTCACTGGCGATCGGTTCAGCCGTCAGGCCGGCATATATCCCGTGAATGATGCAAACTTGACAACTGCCGACATCCTGCCTAGTCAACCAAATACATTCCTCTTTTGGGTTGCCCCGAAAGCGTTGTCTCGAACAAACGGGTTGCCCCAAACGCATCCTCTCGGACAAACGGACGAACAAACCCTCCAGGCCATCGAAGGGGAAGTGCAAACGAAAAAGCTCAGGGTGCACCCACATACATCCGGGCTACCAGGTGTAGTGCTGAAACGAAGGGATGTCATCTGGGTCAGGGGACCACCGATATAGAGGTGGTGGACGCCACGCAACCTCCAGGTCTATCTTCCGAAGTTTTTCTCATGCGTGTACACACGGTGTGTAGTGTACACCCAAAAATATATCTGGGGGCAGCCTCTAGCCCGCTTGTCGCCCGTCTGGCCGGAGTGGTTGGAGAAACATGGCTTTCACACAAACATGACTTCCACTTGCTTGCGCTAACTTACGCGGACATCTTTTCGGAATAACTAGATTGGCTATTTAGTTTTCATGGCAACCAACTACCCATATCTGGAGACAAATGAGTGCCGAAATCCTCATGTATGCATACAGAGAGCAACAGCTTTTTTGCAGCGAAAACTTCCTCACAAAGCCCGGGGATTTCCGGTATATGTCCCCATCTCAGCGAAGGTAGGTGCGTTTCAGGCTAAAAAAACTGGGGATCTGTGTATACAAGTACATGTCCCCGATCCCCCCCCAAATCTCCCCCCGCCCCTCCCCAATCGACGAAGGTGAAACGCTGAAAACGGAAGGTCTACAAGTAGAAGGGTTCGAGGAGAAGATATCTGTTGCTTGTGCCGAGAGAGAGGAACAGAATCTAACCACAAAGAAACCAAGGAAAAGTGTACGAAAGTTGAAAGAAGGAAGGGTTCAAGGAGTACAGGGTTCACGGAGTACCTTTATGGACCAATGGATGCAGGGACGAAGAAAGCTGAAGGTCGAATTCAGGACCGGAGACAGACATATTGGCCTTCGAGAACGTACACGAAAACTTCCGAAGGTACAAGACGAAAAGTTCAAATGTGATTGCGACGCCGAGTGCGAAA